GGGGGGGGGGGGGGGGAGGGGGAGAGCCCGACGATGCACCAGGTGTGGGGTTGGGTTAGGGCGGCGTGGCGTGGGGTGCATGCAGAGCGGGCAAGGGAAGCATAACCCCAAGCGACCAACAACACGTTTGTTCTTGATCGACTCGTATCACACGCGAGCCAGGCAGCCCCCTCGTGGGAGGTGGGGGGGTGGGGAGGGGGGGTCGAGACACCAACGAGAGCACGGCAAACGGGGACCAGACGGTCGCATCATCATAAAAAAATAAAATAAAAAACGAAATAGAGAAACCGAGAGGTGCACGACAAAAGCAGTGGTGCGTGTCGCGACACCACGATGCGAAACAGCCCACAAGAAGACTTCCCTTCCTCCCCAGCCCGTGGCGCCCGCACCAATGCGTCTTCCTTCCGTCCACTCACCCCGTGCGCTCGATCGCCATTAATCCAAGAGTGGTCTTGAATGAGGGAGGTGAAGTACTCTCTCCCGTTCACGCCGCCGGTCCACTTGTCAAGCTTCTTCAGGAGCTTTCTGCCAAACGCCAAATGACACAACCAACAGCAAAGCAAAGCGATAAGAAACAGTCGGCCGCACTCCTGACACACGTAGCATGACATTTCTAGGACGTCGCAGCTCGCCCTGCTTTTCATGCGAGACTGTGATCGTGCCGACTATTATATCGCATCGCCTGTGCTAAGCTGGAAAAGCGGAAACAAGTGCCAGAAACGAGGTATAGGGGTTCGGCCATCGGTAGAGGCAACCTCACTGCCACAAGAGTAGCACTACTTGGACTTCGATCAGGACTGATAGCAGTAGCAGACGCTAGCCTCGTGAATGCGATTGGGACTGACATCAGTAGCAGCAGCCGCAGCAGCAGTAGCAGTGAAACCAACCGTGCAGCACGTTATGCACGAAAGGTATGGCGTGGACAGGGCGGAGTACACCAACAGACAGCCTTACGCCCCCCGACAACATCAGAATCCTGTTCCCTGAAGGGTGCTCCAGCTCTCACCGGAAGCCGTGCATGTTCATGTCCACGAAGTGCACCAGGTCCCGAGACTCCGACAGGAGGACCGTGGCCCCGGCCTTGGC